TATATATATATATATTTTTTTTTTTTCTTTGTACACTTTTTACTTAAAATGAAAATACATTTATGTTTGGCAAGAGTGAGAAGGAAAGTTCTAGTTCAGTGTAGCAGTAAAAAAAACAAATCTCATATAACTCATTATATTAAATATTAAATGTAAAAACTGCCCAAAAATAACAGCAGCATCTGCAAAATGCTAAAAAAGCACTTATATAACACATTTTTAACGCTTTGTAGTAGTGTGCTACTTGGGTGATTTTTTAAATTACTGAATTTACATATTTATTGTATACTGCTATACATTAAGATTTGATTACATGAGAAATTTTTGTATTACATTTAAGTTAGTAATATCCATGGTAGACGAAACAATTATTATTTTAATAGGCATGCTGAGCTAAACAAAATATCTTACCTTTATAATCAATTATCAGAGTCTCGAAAATCTCGACCCTTGATGTAACAAAGTGAAATCGTAATATACGGCGTAAATATTCAACGTATATACATTAGTAATCTCAAATTCGTAATAGTTATAAAATTGCTCGTTATATTGACCCAACGTCAGCACGATTGACAGGTAGCCATAGTATGAATCTGCTTGCATACAATTCCAATAAAATAAACAGTATTTATTGCCGTTATTTATATGTTTTATATCATACGATTGAAATTGATGGATTTTCATCCATCTTTCATTCATCTGTACATAATAACGTATATGTGCTTTTTACATGTACTTCGATCACTGTGAAAAAGAGGTTAGAAGAATCCAAGCAAAAAATGAGAATCCAACGCAGATTCAGTGTTGCCAACTCTCGAAAAAAAAAGAATAAATTAAGAGTCAATAGAGATCATGAAATTTTTTTTGTAGAAGAATGAAACGTGAAAAATGAAAAATTTCTCTAATTTCAATGGTTAAAATTTTCATTTTTTACTTTCCATCCTAGAATTAAAGTTTCATGATTGATATCCAGGCTGTGTTCCAAAATTCACTGTTCCAGTCACTGAAAATCTATAGTTTACGTTATGTATACTATAGATTTTCAGCGCTGGCAGTGAATTTTGGAACACAGAAGTGATAAGCCAACTCATTTAGAGGCTCTACATAAAAGAAGGAACAGGGAACAGAGAACAGAGAGTAGAGAAAGAAATCAATATTGTGGAATACACAGTTTCTGATAGGTTGAAATTCTTATTTTCTGTTCTCTGTTCCTTTTACGGAGCCCCTTACACCTCACTTGTGTGCAGCTACATATCTACATTCAGACTCTGGCTGCGTTCGCTTTGATGCTTTATAGCACTTATGAACATCAATTATATTGTTTGATATTTAATAATCAAAAGGATAAAACGGAGTTTAAAGCGTTGTGAGCATCAAAGCGAACTCAGTCTATATTATGTATTGTCTCGTAAAAAAAATATTTTATGAAACTCTGATTTATATTTTATGAAGCTACAAACCAGCAAACGAGAATGGATTGAAATGGATTAAAATGGATTCAGATTTTCAAAAATACGGAATGTTAAAATGAATTCTTTTCAATCCTAAATGCATTTTTATTCATTTATAGGAATTGTATAGAGCATATCTCTATGTCTTTCAATCTAAAAATAATATTAACATTTTCTGTGCGCATCGTGAACTCAATTCAGAATTTTGAATAGGAAGTACAGTTTTTTAATTTAGTTGAATTCAAAAATAATATCAGTAATTATTGTGCATGAATACTGTTCAATTCAATATTCTGAATATAAAATTCAGTTTTTTAATCTAATTAAATAAAAAAAGTTTTTATTTAAAAATGGACCATAAATGTTATTTAAATTATTGAAAATTATATTAGGTGTACAACTTTGCTTCCGCCGTTTTTTTTCCGAAATTCGAGGCTTTATTGTAAAAAACTGGTTATACATTTATGATTCAAAGTATTGTCCATCGCTGGCCACTACTTTCTCCCATCTTTCGGGTAGCGTACGAATCCCGCGTCGAAAAAACTGGTCATCTTTTGAGGCTATCCACGAATCGATCCAATTTTTTACTTCTTCATAAGACCGGAAATGCTGGTCAGCCAGGCCGTGTGCCATTGATCGAAACAAGTGATAGTCAGAGGGAACGTCTGGAGAATACGGCGGGTGGGGTAGGATTTCCCATTTCAACGTTTCCAAGTATGTCTTGACACTTTCGCAACATGGGGTCGAGCATTGTCATGCTGCAAAATCACTTTATCGTGTCTCTCGTTGTATTGCGGCCGTTTGTCTTTCAATGCTCGGCTCTAACGCATCAATTGCGTTCGATACGCCGATCGACTGTGATTGTTTCAGTCGGTTTTAACAGTTGATAATACACTACGCCGAGCTGGTCCCACCAAATACAGAGCATGACCTTGGACGTCAAAATCACCGTTCTTGAAGCGTTGAAACCACTCACGACACGTTTCTTTCACTAATAGCGGCCCACCATAAGTATTTGAGAGCATTCGATGAGCCTCAGCCATAGATTTCTTCATATTGAAGTAAAAAATTAAAACCTCCCGCAAATAACGAGAATTTGGCTCGTAAACTGACATTTTCAATCGAGAATAACTTTATGATGCAGACACAAATCGACTAATGTTTCTATGGGGTTATGTTGACAGATGCCCAAGTTTATTGTATGACGTCTATGATCTATTTATTTCGACCACCACTTACCGCTAAAGCCATCTATAGGAAAACGGCGGAAGCAAAGTTGTACACCTAATAAGTAGGAAATTTTTCGTTTTAATCCAACTAAGTTAAAAAAAGTTGTAACATAAAAATAATTGAGCTATGTTTTTTGTTTCTCTTTAAAAGTAAAATGAATGATCGATGTGAACACTCGCAAACCAAGTCGAACACAACTCGAATATTAGGCCAATCATGGCGCGCGACATCGGCCAAGCGAGATTAGATTATCCGACACTTACCCAATGTTGTCTCGTAATGTAAATTATTTATACTTTATTATATCTGTTATATGATGGTATTTTTATTATATTGATATAATTTTGTTACTATTGTAGTTTGTTACTATTGTAGTTTAGCTGGTTATAATTGAAATAAAGAATGAATAATACATTTACCAATTGAAGAAGTGGTCTAGTAAGCATCGCAAAAGATCCAGAGATCCCAGGTTCGAATCCCATTAAGGTGCATTTTTTTTAATATCAATTTGAAGTAGTTAATTTCAGGTATAATTATTATAAATGTCTTAGAAATAAAATTTGTAAAATTTAATTTAAATAAATATGAATGTATTTTTTTTTCGAATATTGTCTAACTAATGTCAACTTGGATCTAATCCATTTCAATCTATTTAATTCATTTTCATGGATTTAAAGTACGCATTAAAAAGTTTTAAATCATTTTAATCCATTCTCGTTTCCTGAGAAGCCTATGAAAAAAATTTTGCAATTTTATTTTTAAAAACATTTTACTGAATAAAATGCTTTTTATTTACGGTACAGATATCAGTTTTTATACCGATATATTAGTATTGTTCGTTTTGTCTCTCGGAAGCTACTCGGGATCGCTCCGAATGAATCCAGCGTAATTGAAATATAGGATTCACACTACGTATGACATCCATCATATAACATCTGACATTCAGGCTTCGTCTACAATCAAATCGGTTGACGTTAATCGTAAAAGATGAGATCTGATTAATCCAAACGCCCAATAACCGACATCGACAGCAAACACGAAAAATGATGGTTTTATACGTATACAATACATAGTGAAAGTAAAAAAGTGTGCTTATGCACAGGCATTTTTTGCTGGCCAATGACAGAGCCTGACTCGACTTCGCCATCTTGAATAATTTCTAACGGGGGAGATTTTTAAGCGAAGAAACGCAAAATATTATACCCACAATTAAATAGTCTTATTGTTTATATGTATTGCCAGAATTAAGACAATTTAATAAAAAGTTGCTGGTTAGTACGCGTATTAAATACTCAAACAAGATCAATAAATACATAAAATAACATTAAACATTTGATAATTTTCGGAGTGAATTTATTTAGTATCAATAATTATATATAAATATATTTTTAATATTAAATTATTTTATT